TGACTTTCTAATGGCTCATTTGAAGGAAGAGCTTTAGGCCTCATCTTGCTTGCCCCTTTGCAACATTTATTGTGGGTGACCACGAGTGTCTTCTTGAATTCTTTTTCTCTCATAGGTTCCGTGGTCATACCTTTGACTAGTTTCTCTCTGTCTCTCTGGTTGTTCCTTTCAGGTTCTTTTATTGCTTCTACTCCTCTATTCATCCTCTAGAAGTTGGGGTCCCTCAGCCCTCTTTTCTCTCTATCCATGCTTCTTGGTGCTCTCACCCACTGCCACAGCTCCACCCACTACCTGTCTGCTGCTGCCACCCATCTTTTGGTCTCTAGCGTTTACATACAGCAACAATAGATATGTCTACCTTGATTCGGAACTACAAACTCCTTAAACTTAATGTATCCCAACGGATTTCATTATTATCTCCCACCGCCAAAAAAACCCCCAAACCTGTCCCCTGTAGCATCAAAGTGTACATGACCATATAGCATAGTGGACACCAGTATAGGCTCTAAAGTTCATAGGTTAAAAATCCCTGGTTCTGCCTTTTACCAGTTGTGGGACTTTGAGAAATGACCTAACCCCTCTGTGCCTCAGTTTTCTGATATCAAATATCAGATAGGGTGTCACTTAACAGATGAGATTTTTTTGAAAAAATGTTTGTCCTTGGCACATCATAATCACTTCTGTGAAGATGATGATTCATTCATTTATTCAATAATTCAATGACTATTTACTGAGCAACACGTGTGCCCAAGCAGCCGTATTGGCGCAATGGTTAAGTGCTCAGCTGCTAACCCAAAGGTCAATGGTTCGAATCCACCAGCCACTCTGCAGGAGAAAAGACCTGGTGATCTGCTCCCGTAACTATTTCAGCGTAGGAAACCCTATAGGGCAGTTCTACTCTGTCCTTTAGCGGTCAGCTGGAATTGACTCAACAGTACGCAACAATATATGTGCCAAGCACTGCTCCAGGTACTAGAGAATCACGAATAAACAGAACAAAGTATAAAGCATTTGGGTAGCGATAAGTGCAAAGGAACGGGAAAAGCACAAAATGGGGATATGAAGTGTCAGAGGAAGGTTGAACTTTTAGGTAGGATTGGCAGAGAAGGCTTTCCTGAGAAGGTGGCTATCTTAGTTACCTAGTGCTGCCACAACAGAAATACCATAAGTGGGGTGGCTTTAAACAACAGAAATTTATTTTCTTACAGTTCTGGAGGCTAAAAGCCTGAATCAGGGTTTCAGCCATGTTGATTCCTTCTGTAAGCCTCTCTCCTAGTTTCAGGTGTCTTCCAGCAATCCTTGGCATTCCTCGATGTCTGTGTGTGTCTCTGTGTCTATTCTGCTTCTTTGATAACTCAGAAGTGATTAAGTTTAGGATCCACCCCAGTCTGGTATGATCTCACTAACAACAGAAGAAAACCCTTATTTCCAAACTGAGTCATATTTACAGGTATTAAAAAACAAACAAACAAAACCAAACCCATTGCCGTTGAGTTGATTCCAACTCATAGTGACCCTATAGGACAGAGTAGAACTGCCCCATAGAGTTTCCAAGGAGTGCCTGGTGGATTCGAACCACCAACCATTTGGTTAGCAGCCATAGCTCTTAACCACTACTCCACCAGGGTTTCCATTTACAGGTGTAGCAGTTAGGATTTCAACATATATTTTCTGGGACCACAATTCAATCCATAAGAGTGGCTTTGAGCTAAGCCCTGAGGGAGTGAAGGCGTTAGCTCTTCAGATAGTTGGAGAAAGCACAGAACAGCGATTGCAAATGCCCTGAGACAGGAGCATACCTGGCGTGTCCGATGCCTAGGAGGGCAGGCAGTTCATAGTCAAGTTTTCATTCATGGTCTGAGTGAATTGGAAAGCGAAGGAAGGGCTCTGGGCAGAAGAATGACAGTATGTGACCTCCATTTTAAAACTACCATCTGGCTGCTGTTGAGAGAGGCTGAACAGGGGCAAAGGTAGTAGCAGGAGGACATTTAGGAGGAGATTACTGCAAAACTCCAAGTCAGCGGTGACGGTGGCTTGGACCATGGCGGTAGCAGTGAGGGTGGAGAGACGTGATCAGGTTCTGGATATATTGTGAAGGTGTCGTGAACAGGATTTGCTGACAGATTGAATGTGGACTGTGAGAGAAAGAGAAAAAAGGAAGGATGACTTCAAGGTTTTTTTTTCGAGCAACTGGAAGCACGGTGATGGGGAGGATTGCAGGAGCAATGGGCTTTGAGGAGAAATCAGGCACTCAATTTTGTACATGTTAAGTTTGAGATTGTCTATTACAACATCTAGTTAGATGGGTATACAGCCCTTGATTTCATGGGAGAAGTTTAGGCTAGGGATACAGGGAGTATATTTTTCTCTCTCTTTTTTTATTGTGGTGAAAACACACACACCAAAACATCTGACAACACAACAATTTCCAGACTGACAACTCAATGCACCAAGTTTTCATGTTGTGCCATCATTGTTACTCTCCTCATCCAAAACATTTTACCACCATTAACATAAATTCAATGCCCTCCGGACAAAAACACCCCCTTTCCCTCTCCCTCTCACCCCTGGTAACCATTAATAATCTTGGTTTCTATGTATTTGCTTATTTCATATAACTGAGTTCATACGTTATTTGTCCTTTTGTAACTGACTGACTTCTTTCCCTCAGCATAAAGTTTTCAAGGTTTATTCACGCTGTGGCATGCGTCAGAACTTCATCTCTCTTTACTGCTGTATACTATTCCATTGTATGTGTATACCACATTTTGTTTATCCATTCATGTATTGATGGGCATTGTGGTTGTTTCCACCTTTTGGCTATTGTGAAAAGAGCTGCAGTGAACATTGGTGTACAGGTTTCTGTTTGCGTTTCTGCTTCCACTTCTTCTGAGTATATACTATTGGGATATATTGGGATTGCTGGGTCATATGGTAATTCTATTGTCAACTTTTCGAGGAACCACCAAACTGTTTTCCACAGTGGCTGTCCCATTTTATGTTCCCACCAGCAGTGCGTGAGTGTTTCAGCTTCTCCACAAGCTCACCAACACCTGCTGTTTTCTGTTTTTTTTTTTTTTTTTTTATCATTGCCATTCTAATGGGGTTGAGGGGTAAGGTGAGATCTCATGTAGTTTTTATTTGCATTTCCCTTATGGCTAATGATGTTGAGCATCTTTTCATGTCCTTATTGGCCATTTGCATATCTCTTGGTGAACTGACTATTCAATCCTTTGCCCATTTTTTGATTGGGTTGTTTGTCCTTTTGTTAAGTTTGTAAATAGCATTTAAAGCTATGAGACTGGATGAATTCACCTAAGACATGAGTGTAGGCTGAAAAAAAGAACAAAAAGAAAAAAAAAAAAACAAGTTCAAGAGCAAGGATGAGCCCTGGAACATTCTAATAATATTGATAATATGTGCTGGACCCCAGCAACTTATATACAGGCAGTCATCTGTCCCTCATAAAAAGGCTGCAAGGTAAATACTGTTTACCTGACTTGATAAAAGGGAATTCACAGAGATACAGCATTTGTTCAAGGGCACATTAAAAACAAACAAACAAACAAACTGAACCCATTGCCGTTGAGTGGATTCCCACCCGTAGCAACCCTATAGGACAGAGCAGAACTGCCTCTTAGGGTTTCCAAGGAGCGGCTGGTGGATTTGAACTGCTGGCCTTTTGGTTTGCAGCTGTATCACTTAACCACTGTGCCACCAGGGCTCCTCAAGGGAACACAGATAGTAATAAAAACAAAACAAAAGAAAACCACCAAACCCGTTGCTGTTGAGTAGATTCCTATTCAAGTGCTGATAAATCTCTCTCTGACTTCAAAGTTTTCCTCCCAGCAACCTAACTCGTAAACCTTGGCATAATCCTTTGTCTTCCCTTTCCCATCCAATTGGCCTTTCATTTCTATTTTCAAATTAAGCTTTAATACAGGCCATCCTAATCTTTTACCTTGAACTATTGCTACTGCCTCCTAATAGGATTTCCTGCCTTGAGACTTTCCCTAGTCTAATCCATTCCTTATCTTCCTAAAAATAAAGCTGATCATGTCACCTTCCTGCTCAACCCTTCTATTAACTTCCATTATCTATGAAATATAATCCAGCTTCCTTAGTTAGGTTTACAAGAGGCTTTCCCATCTGTCTCCAACCTACTTTTCCATCTCATCTCTTGCTCCTCTCCCCAATAACCCCTCCCATTCCCATCTATTCCCTGTGACACTGAACCTCTTATTGAGAGACACTAAGCCCTTATGCAACCCAGACAGTTTCACATGCTGTTTCCTTTTTGTACCTACACGGGTGAAACCTCCAGTGCAATACTGACTAAAAGGTGTGACGGCGGGCATCGTGTCTTTGCCTCATCGCCCAGGGAAGTTTTCATGTTTTCACCACTGTGTATGATGCTTGTTGTAGGATTGTTTTAGGTATCTTCATCAGATTAAGGAAGCTCCCTTGCTAAGGATTTATAAATTTAATAATTTATAAAATGTTTTTCTGTATCTATTAAGATGGCATCATCATTTCTCTCCTCTAATCAATCATCAATCAATAATTATTAACCGATAATTATTAATCAATTATTATTGATCAATAATTAATCAATAATTACTTCTGCAGTTAAATTAACCTTACATTCCTGGATTAATCCAACTTGATCTTTATGTATTATCCTTTAAAAAAATATACATGGGTTCAATTTGCCAGTATTTTGCTTAGTACATGGCCCTACGGTTTGAGCAGTGGCCCCCCAAAAGCCAAACCCCTTGCCACTGAGTCGATTCCGACTCACAGCGACCCTACAGGACAGAATAGAACTGCCCCATAGGGTTTCCAAGGAGCAGCTGGTGGATTCGAGCTGCCCGCCTTTTGGTTAGCAGCCGAGCTCTTAACTACTATGTCACCAGTGCCCAGGGGAGCACTTGCTGGAGAGTGACCAAAAGCAATCTGATACTTAGGAACCAAGTTTGATTTCACTTCCGTCTGGGATTAGGGCCTCTGAATGGATAGCAGGGGTGGGAGTTAGAGGGGATGTACGAAGCTCTGTATTACTTTAGGAAAATGAAAATGTCATTATAAAATTTTTTCATATTCAGCCTAATAATAGCCTAGTACAAAAATGGAAACAGACCTTATTGTTAAAATTCAAAAATTTCAATATCAATAAAATAAAGGCCTACGTTTATACATAAATCTAGTTATGTTTAGTTTGCTAGTTCCGTAAAAAAGTAATGATAAGAGGGGTGGAGTCCCATACAGTCCCCCAAACACCCTTTCAGAAAGGTTTTCTACAGGATGTCCTTCTCTGAGACTTTGATTAGTCCGATTTTCTACAGGATGTCCTTCTCTGAGACTTTGATTAGTCCGAGGTTGATGAGGATGGTCTTTTCCAGTTCCAGATAATTGTCGTAGTCCATTTTCAGTTCAGCCTCCAATTGTTCTTTTGACTTGTGATAGGTTTTCTAGGGGAGAAAAAGCAAGACATCCCTATAAAATCCTGACAGCTGAAAATCCCAAAGGACAAGCAGGGTCTGTTTTAAACTATTGGCCTGGTTGCTGTCTCAGGAAGGAGTCTGCAGGAGGGTGGGAGGGCAGGAGGGTACCTCTTGCTGCAGTCGGGGGAGGAGTTGCTGCTCTGTTTGGGGAAGGCAGAAACCGAGTGGACAAGTGTGAATAGATACAAGATATCTCCTGGAGGGGGAGCAGACGGATTTGCTGCTGAGTTGCATGTGGGGGTCTCAGGGAAAGGAAGGAATCTAGGATGGCTTGCAATTCCTGGCTCAAAGCAGAGCGTGCTGCCGCTTACTGAGGAAGGAGCACACTGACAGGGGAGAGACACAAGGGAACGTTTATGATGCCAAGAAGTCCCTGGGTGGTGCAAACTTAAAGGTTGGTAGTTCAAACCCATTCAGAGGCACCTCAGAAGAAAGGCCTGGTGATCTGCTTCCAAAAGGTCACAGCCTTGAAAACCCTATGAAGCATTTTCTACTCTGCACACATGAGGTATCCATGAGTCAGAATCGACCGGATGGCAACTGGTTTAGTTTATTTATGCAGCCGATTTACCCAATACCACTTACTGGATAATCGTTTGGTCAGGATTCCTTCAGGAATTAATACGTTCTTACATAGTCTAGGAGTCATTTCAGGACTACCTGTTCTGTTGTTTGATCTGTCAGTATTTGCATCAGTGCCGATCTGGTTGAATTAGTTTGGTATTTTAATTCATTATAATATCTGATAGGGCAAGCCCCCAGGCATTATGATTTTTCAGAATTTTTCCCCATCTGTTTATTCTCTCAGATGAACTTTGGAATCATTTCCGTCTTGATGTATCGTCCTTGTAGTTGTCTTGGTTTTCCTCCTCTTGTCCCCTCTCCCATCCTGTTGTCTCCCTGCTCCCGTGTCACGAAGCTCTGTCTTTGTGTGTTCCATTAGGGGGACTAGGACTCTAAACGTTCATTCTAGTTTCTTTTTTTTTTTTAATTGTACTTCAGGTGAAGGCTTACAGAACAAATAGTTTCTCATGAAACAGTAGTACACATTGTTTTATGACACTGGTTAACAACCCCACGACATGTCAGCCGTCTCCCTTCTCGACCTTTTTTTTTTTGGTGAAAATATACATTCTAGTTTCTTTAGAGAATACTTTTGAAACAATATTTTCCTTCGTTGAGACTTCACAGTAATTGATAGTCCCTTCTTCGTCTGCTGTATTCTTTCCATATGTTTGCTTATCTTTCCCTTTTCTTAGTATCTCTGACTTTCATATTCCTCATCTCTAATAATAGTATCCACTTCATAGCATTGTGAGGGTTAAATGAACCATGTATTTAACCCTCGTGTCAAATCCTCAGAATACTGCCTGGCACTTAATACATGTTAGCTGCAGTATGTAACCAATTCACAAAAAGAGCAAGACTTGATATGGTAAGAGTAGAAAAAACCTTCTATCCACTGTCCTTTGCAATATATGTGGCAGATCCCAGAGCTTTTCCGATTACTTTTAGGTATTATGAATAGTGTCAGGTTCAGGTCTTTATAAAGATCCAGGCCCTCCCACAGCAGTGCCTCTGATGTCAGCCACACGTCCTGGCTGGCTGCTGATGGGCCCGCCCCCAGCTCATCTGCCTCACCTCAGATAGAAAGTTCTTTTGGACATCTGATTTGAGCCCAGGTACTTTCCAAAGGGGTCTCCTTGGCCCCCAGAAAAGCGTGCCATCCCCTCTCTGCCATCAGGAGACGCTCCTTGCTCCACCAGCCTCTCTCCACACGCTGCTGTCAGGACAGTGTAAGCCAGTCTCTGGCCTGCAGGCTTTCCAGGAAAGAGCCAGACCTAGTCACTGGGTTCCTAGCTCTCCCCCACATTCTGCTCTGGTTCCTTGGTAACACGTGGCTCTTGGATTTCTGCTGCTGAACAAGCCTCTCTCGAGCAGTGGTTCCCCGGAAGGTCTCCTTATGAAGTCTGATGTATCCAGGAAGGGGGAGCGGGGAATCCACGGCCCTCTGACACCTGTCTCTCAAAAAAAAAAAATTCCTCTTGCAGCCGTCTTCCCTGTAACTCCTGCCTCCCTTATGTAGCCTGGAGGCTGGGGGATTGACTAGAGGGTGCAGAATTCTTTTGAACATCCTCTTCCTCCCCTCTTTGAAATCCTTTATAGATGGTGTAGCTTGTGGGGTTATGTGGCAACTACTTTCCCCACCTTTGTGCCTTCAGCGGAAACTCCTGTTAGGGAAATTCCCATTTCAGATGCTGTTAGAGTGTATTACTCTTACGCATCAAGAAGCGAGCTATATCAGGTCTGATGTTTACAAAGAGGCAGGTATATGGTTGCTAGGGATCTGTTGGTTGAAGTGTGCAGCCTAATGCCTGGCACTGGTGGGCACTCAGAACATCTAGCCCTGCGGGATAGATGTGTGGTCTTCTCACATCCTCTGTGAAAATGCTAACAGCGAACACTTACTAACACTCTGTATGTGCCAGTTACTCTCTTGCTGTGTGCTGTTGAGTCGATTTTTGACTCACAGTGACCCCACATGACGGAATAGAACTGCCCTATAGGGTTTTCTAGGCTGTAATCTTCATGGAAGCAGATTGCCAGGCCCTCCTCCCATGGAACCTCGGGGTGTGTTCCAACCGCCAACCTTGCCGTTAGCAGCCGAGCGCTTAACCATTTTGCCGCCAGTGCTGTAAATTTCTTAACTCGTTTAATCCCCACTGCATCCTCTGAGGTTGCTACAGTTATTATTCCCACCTTCCCCTTTATCACCAGTTGCTTATAAGGAAATATTTCTTACTAATGACGGTTGTTTTTTCTTTGTGGTCTTTTTCATATTCTAAATGCAGCAGAGGAACCCTTTTAAATTTGTTCATTTATCCAAGATTTAGCTCCAGAGAAATTTTGAGAAATGATAGCTCTACTTAGAAGAGGGTACGACGTCAAATGGAAATGAAGTTACAAAAAGGAAAAATTTTGGAAAGCAGAACGCATAATACAGTATTATAATAGTTGGGTGGTTTAAAAGTATTTCACATGCAAATTAATTTTGGATTATTTATCCACAATTCTACTTGCTCCCACTGATGCAGCTAATGAGGAATAGGCAGTGTGGTATTTAAACATAATAATTGTAGATAATTGCTGGGGTAGGGGAAGGGTGGCAGATTATCCAACAGAATTTCAACCAATGTCTGTGGGTGTGCAAAAAAGCAAACCAAGACCAATTTGTTTGTAGCAAGAGAAAACAATGAAAGCTAATTAATTGGTATTCTTTTATACTTTGTCATTACTAAACAATTCTTTTGAAAGGCGGCCCTCTGCCTTTATAACACTAATTAGTATCTATCTATAAAGGATAATGTTAATATATTTGCTAACATAGTGCATTAAAATATTTCCACATGCTGGTGCTTTAATTGAGACCTAGGGTCTTACGTGAATAATTATGTTGGAAGATGTTAGATACTTGGCTATAAGGAAACTAGAGAAAAAACCAATGATGACATTGCTGGTGACAAAAGTTCAAGGGAGGGATAAGCAACAGATTCAAATAAACAAGAAAGAGAGAAGTAGACATATGGACTGAATGAACATCAGGTGAGAATGAGTGTCCCCCCCAAAATGTGTGTATCAATTTGGCTGGGCCATGATTCCCAGAGTTGTGTGGTTGGCCTCCATTTTGTGATTGTAGTTTTATGTTAAAGAGGATTAGGGTGGGATTTTAACACCACCCTTACCCAGGTTACATCCCTGATCCAATGTAAACGGAGTTTCCCTGGGGTGTGGCCTACACGACCTTTTATCTCTTAAGAGATAAAAGGAAAGAGAAGAAAGCAGAGAGTTGGGGGACCTCATACCAGCAAGAAAGTAGTGCCAGGAGCAGAATGCGTCCTTTGGACCCGGGGTCCCTGCGTGGAGAAGCTCCTAGTCCGGGGGAACACTGATTAGAAGGCTGACAGAGAGAGAAAGCCTTCCCCTGAAGCTGACACCCTGAATTTGGACTTTTAGCCTACTTTACTGTGAAGAAATAAATTTCTCTTTGTTAAAGCCATCCACTCATGGTATTTCTGTTAGAGCAGCCCTAGATGACTAAGACAATGAGAGAAGTATGAATTCACAGAATATTTAAAGGCCCCAAATTCCAGATGAGTAAGGGAAGATCCACAGAGTGACAATTCGTATCAAACAGAAAGATGCTGAGAAGAGGGCGAGGGGAGAATATAGAGCTTTAGGTTCCTTTTTGATAGTTTAATATTGTTGTTGTGTGCCATCCAGTCGATTCCTACTCACAGAGACCCTACCGGACAAAGTAGAACTGCCCTATAGAGTTACCCAAGCTGAAATCTTTATGGGAGCAAATCGCCAGGTCTTTTCTTCCACGGAGAAGCTGGTGGGTTCGAACTGCCAACCTTTTGGTTAGCAGCTGATTGTTTAAGCATTGTGCCACCAGGGCTCCTGAGTTTCAGATAGATGTGTCTTACATAAATTCACCTCTGTCTCAAATTTTGAAGATCCAATATACTATGTTATAGTAAAATTCATATATATATAGTTAGTTACACTAACTACCATTTAATGAAAGTCTAACTATTTGTCAGGTTTCTTAACAGATAGCCCTACAGTAACCCTAAAAGGTAGTTATTATTATTCCCGTGTTGAACTGAGAGAGTGGAAGCTCAGCAAGGATAAGAGCCTTGCTCCAGGTCTCATAGCTAGTGAGTGGCCCTCTTGTCTTGACTCTATATTTTACTCCTTTTATACTATCTGTTTTAATACATTATTCCCTGGATGTTAAAATTCTATATAGTAAAGCATTCAAATGTTGAATCATTGTATCTATACCCAAGGAAGTCATAGAGAAAATTCCAGAAAAGAACTGGATGAAATCTTGCTAGTTGTCCCGTTGGTAGTTCTCACACATGGTGAGCTAGGACCAGAGAAATGCCCTCCTGACGCTCACGAGACCAAAGGAAGAATATGAAAAGGTATTACTTTTCCATTAAAACTATGGAATAAGCCAATCAAACACATAACCACTGGCATTAGAGGAAAGCAACTTCCGTTTCTGAAATTTAACTTACAGCTTTTTTCTTCTCAGTTTCCAGATCCATTTCTTGCTTTTCTTGCTCACGAATTTTTTTGCGCTGCTCCACGTATTCCAGATGCTTGACTTCTCTTTCAAAGTAGTAGTTAACACTTGCTATCTGTTAGAAACAAAGGCCCATGAGAGGGTAACCCATGCGGAAGGCCTCATGTTCTTCACAAGGCTCTGTTGGGATTCCTGCTGCTGGTAATTAATTAGGTAGATTACCTAGTTTGGGATACTGTTAACCTTTTAGGTGAATGTAATTTGGAAATTGTTCACTTTAATTGCCTGTCTAAATCTCAGAGAGGATGCCTTTGCAGATCTATGATTGATAAAGTGGCTTCCAAATTCCCCATTATCTCTTTCAGATTTGTGAGGATTTCTAATATTTTTGGCAATGCTGGGCAAAAAGAAACCCTTCAAAGTTGTCATAGCTCTGGCTTGTCTTCATGGCTGTTAAAAGCAGGGACTGCTTGATGTTATGATTAAGATGATTTTGAATTGCAGTCTAAAATGTAATTGCATAGGGAAATTGGGCCCTGGATTGTGCATGATTTCAGGGCAGTTCAACAAACATTTATTGAGTACTTATTCTAAGCACTGGAGCCCTAGTGGCACAGTGGTTAAGAGCTCAGCTGCTAACCAAAAGCTCAGCAGTTCGAATCCACCAGTTGCTCCTTGGAAAATCTATGGTGCAGTTCTACTGTCCTATAGGGTCACTGTGAGTCAGAATTGACTTGACAGCAACAGGTTTCATTCTAAGCACTGGGAAAACGATGATATGCTGTAAGAGAAAGTCCATTTTTAGCTTTAGAAACTTTTGGTGGTCTTTTAATTCAAGTAGCATCAAATGTGGTACTTACATTTAAGCTATGACTACCTGTAATACAGGTAACTAGCGGTATTAGGGAAGAACAGGGTTCATGGGCCCATGGCCCCACTACCAGCGGAATTTGCAGGCTATCGTGCAAAGGTTTAGGGCCCTGTGAATCGGAGGTTGCCAGGAAGGGAGTGGGGTTGGAACAAGAGAGCAGCAAAAAGTTGTAACTTCAAAGAAAAATGTTCAGGGATTGCCTTTATCCCTTTTATTCCTTCTTTTTCTAAGCTGGAGGAAAGTTTCATGTCATCAACCAAACTTGGAAAACCCAGATGAGGGTATCAATGTAGACGCTAAAGGGACTGGAATCAGAGGTGAGCGCCTGGTGTCATGGAGGGTGTACTGTGTGGGCATAAGAACAGCTGCAGGAAAGGCTGCAGAGACCTTGGGGAAGGCAACCAGTGGAAAGAAAGCTCTTTGCCTTCTGGTAACTAAGCTCTGTTAGGACTTGCAAACAGATTGCAATCTATGTATTTAATACTGGTTGTGTGTGTGCGTGTGTGTGTGTGTGTGTGTATATACATATATATATACATATATATATATACACATCGGAACTGACTCGATGGCAATGGGTTTGGTTTTGGCATATATATATGTTGTTGTTAGGTGCCATTGAGTCAATTCCAACTCATAGCGACCCTATGTACAACAGAACAAAACACTGCCTGGTCCTGGGCCATTCACATGATCGTTGTTATGCTTGAGCCCATTGTTGCAGCCAGTGTCAATCCATCTTGTTGAGGGTCTTCCTCTTTTTCGCAGACCCTCTTCCCTACCAAGCATGATGTCTTTCTCCAGGGACTGATCCCTCCTGATAACGCACCTAAAGTATGTAAGCCATAGTCTCGCCATCCTTGCTTCTAAGGCACATTCTGGCTGTACTTCTTCCAAGACAGACTTGTTTGTTCTTTTGGCAGTCCATGGTATATTCAATATTCTTTGCCAACACCATAATTCAAAGGTGTCCATTCTTCTTTGGTCTTCCTTATTTATCGTCCAGCTTTTGCACACATATGAAGCGATTGAAAATACCATGGCTTGAGTCAGGTGCACATTAGTCTTCAAGGTGACATCTTTGCTTTTTAACACTTTGAAGAGGTCTTTTGCAGCAGATTTTCCCAATGCAATGCATCGTTTGATTTCTTAACTGCTGCTTCCATGGGTGTTGATTGTGGATCCAAGTAAAATGAAATCCTCGACTTCAATTTTTTCTCTGTTTATCATGATGTTGCTTATTGGTCCAGTTGTGAGGATTTTTGTTTTCTTTACGTTGAGGTGTAATCCATACTGAAGGCTGTGGTCTTTGATCATCAGTAAGTGCTTCAAGTCCTCTTTACTTTCAGCAAGCAAGGTTGTGTCAGCTGTATAACTCAGGTTGTTAATGAGTCTTCCTCC